CCATATAAATATCATGCCCAAACATCAAGGATCCAAAAGAATGAAACAACCTATCATTGATCTTAGAGACCTCATTATCAATACCCTCAAAAGTTCTATTGCTTTTTCTTTTTCAAATTACCCTCATAATAGTAACTGGTATTAGCTTTACATATTTTCTTTTTTTACATAGACCTTCCCAAGCTCAAATCTCATCCTTCACCAATCCTGCAATAACCCAATTAATTCTTAACAACCCGTAGATCATCATCCACAGTTCATAAGCCATTGGCCACAAGAGAATGATATGATTACAAGATTCCGCAACTCTTTTGCAAAAATAACAACCGTTAATGATAATCTCTCCTCTAACCATAAACTTGTCAATTGTAAGAACGCATTCACGACACACCTCTCAAGCAAAAAAAGCAACCCTAGGAGGTGTATTAACTCTCCAAATCTGATGGACCGAAAAACTAGGGACTTCTTCTTGCTCTCTTCTCACCAAGTAATTGTAGTAAAACCTAACAGTGAAACTCCCCTTCTTATTCAGTTTCCACACAGTCAGGTCCATGTTATTAGTAACGTGCACAGTGGCAAGAAGTTGTAGCAAAGCTTCATATTCTTCAACTTCTCAATCATTTAGATTCCTGTTCACATTCACAAACCATTCTCTATGACCATTATTATCTCTATAGGCATTTTCAATCAGCATATTCTTGGATCTTGCAACTGCATAGATTCTTGAGAACCATCTCTTGAACCAGTCATCCACTCATCCAACCAAAACCTAACTTTATTACCCCTACCAACTCTCCAAGTGATGCAGTCATGGATTTTGTCAATCCATCATAATCATCCTTGAAAGTCCCAACCCATGTGGTCTCATCCCGCTTCTCATCCCCCTCCTCACTATTGCCCCCCCACCTGGCCTCAATCACACTCTTCCATAATCTATTATCCTCCTTCATAAATCTCTACAACCATTTACCCTATAGAGCCATATTCAAATCAGTCAAAAATCTTAAACCCAAGCCCCCTTGATTATTATGAAATTTAACATCCTCTCACTTCACTAAATGATATCTCATTCTCCCTTCATCATCACCCTAAAAAAATCTAAATTGTATAGTTTCCAATCTCTTTGCAATTTTCACTGGTATCCTAAGCGCAGACAAGAAGTAAATAGGAAGATTGGTTAATGTGCTTTTGTAAGAGTTAACATGCCTCTCTTGGATAAAAAAAATTTCTTCCATCAAGTAAGTCTTCTCTCACATAACTCAACCATGGGTTCCCACGTTCTACCATCTTTGTACTTAACACCCAGCGGTAGACCAAGGTATTTGATTGGTAGCTTAATTGTCTTGCATCCCAATACTCCCGCAAAGTACTCTTCGTCTGTCTTATCACCAATTCTTACAGTCTCGATTCTCGTAAATTAATGTTAAGACCCGACACTGCTTGAAAACATGAAGAACACACCGTAGATTCAATAGCATTCTCTCTTCCAATTGACAAAAGATAAGAGTATCATCAGCAAAGAAAAGATGTGAGCTCTCTATCTTACGCTCGCCTTTTCCCACCTCGACACCCCTCAACTATTCTAACTCATTTGCCCTCTCCACTAAACTATGAAAAGCTTCCATAACAATGATAAATAAAAGAGGAGACAATGGATCATCCTGACGTAGACCACTGGAAGTTTTAAAGAATGTAAGCAAGCTCCCATTAATTAAAATGGCAAAAGAAATATTAGATATACACCAAAGCATCCATCTACTCCACTTCTATCTAAACTCTATTCTCTCTAGCATATAGTCAACAAAATCCCAACTCACATAATTATAGGCTTTTTTCATAACTCATTGATATAGTATCCTTTCTCTCTTGCCTTCCACCAAGTCATCAATAACTTCATTCACCACCATACCCGCATCTAAGATCTATCTAACCTCAACAAAAGTATGCTAACATTCCCCAACCACTTCCCCGAGCACTATAACCAACCTCCTAGCCAACACTTTTGATATCAATTTGTAAATACCACTCACAAAGCTTATGGGCCCGAAATCTTTTATGTTATTTACACCTTCTCTTTTGGCAATGAGAACTTACTAGGGTGGTATTATTTGTTGATTCTATTGAGGGCTCCTTTTCTACTTCTATTCTTTTGGCAAAGGTAAGGGTTGTTAGAGGTTTTTTTTGTTTTTATGGTACCACATGCCCAAGCGTTCAATTTTTACTCTAGGAGATGTTGTATCAATGTCAAGTTTATGCAACCATTTATTGTGTATAGGAGGTAATTTAAGTGTTTACGATGACCCATATAAAACCTTCAAGAGCAAGGAATAGGATAAGTTTCAAGTATGAGGGAGTTTAATAATTTTATCCAAGATTGCAAGCTTATACCTCACATTTTTTAATGCTTAATTTGCTTGGTTGATAAATAGGTCTCTTCTCCTCTTGTATTGAACTTTCCTTGTTCCTGATTATTGGGAAGATAGCTTTCATGATTTGGTGGAGGAGGTCCTCCTCGACCTAGTTTCTTATTACTTTCCTGTTCTCCTAGGTCGTAGTTGCCTAAGGTGGGGATCCTACTTCATTCCATTTTTATGTAATTGACCCATGCAAATTTCACTGAGAATATTAGGAGTTGATGGTTGCAGAGTGTACCTATTGGTTGGGAGGGGTTTAAATTAATGGAAAAAGCTTCAATCCCTCAAAAGTAAATCAAAAATGCCAAATAAGGAGGTTTTTGGGAACATTAGAGCTACAAAAAACTGAAATTCTTGATGAGGTCTCAATTCTTAACATATTGCCTTTAGATAATGCTCTTGGCGTTCAATTACCAGAGACTATCCTACCTTAAGAATGAATTTCAAGTGATTTCGGTAAAAGAAGAAATTAGTTGGAGGCAAAAGAGAGGAAGGATTGGGTAAGATGAGGAAAGTCAACATTGTGTCTTTCATAAGATGGTTAGTGGAAGGAGGAGAAAGAGTTGTATTTAAGGAGCTAGAGCTTGAGGATGGTTTAATGGAAAGAAACAGCAGGAGAATCAAAGTATCACCACCCTTTTATTGAGGGTCTGATTGGCATCTGATTGATAGGGCAAGAGCCAGTTAGCTTGAGAGATCTTTTGGTGAGGGTGAGATCAAGAAAGCTATTTTGGCTATCATAGTGGATAAGGCTCCAAGGCCAAATGGTTTTACTATAACTTTCTTTCTAAGTAGTTGGGATATTATTAAGAGAGACCTGGTTAGGGTGTTTGGGGAATTTTACTTAAATGGTGCCACTAACATTAACTCTACTTTATTACTTTCGTCACCA